GGCCTCCTAACAATTAAACATAACAATCATGAAAATAAGTGTAGAAGAATATTCAATACGCAAAATAAGAATTAAACAATAAGAAAAACTATTTAGATCTCACAATATGTGGTTTCGAGGCTTCAATTTCCTTCGACCAAGTGTAAAATTTTAGTTACAATTCATGAATCTAAGATAAAAATAAAAAAGAATGGAGTTTGGAGGCGTTCTCCCCGTTCTGGGGTTTTAAAATATGTATTTATAGTTGTTTCCATAGGTAATTGACTTAAATTAGGAAAACAAGAATTTTTCCCCGATTTGGCCTGGGCAGGCGCCCAGCAGAAAATGGGGCGACCGCCCAGGCATAAATATTGGCTTTTGTTAATGAAGTTTAGGGTCGGGCAGCCGTCCGACCAACGTAATTGAGCGACCTTCAATGTTTTGGTCATATCTTCCTCTCCCAATATCCGATTGAGTTAATTCAAGATGCATTGGAAATCTAATTCAAAGGGCTACAATTTTGCTTCAGATACCATCTTCCAATTCGATCGTTTGCCATGTAAAAAATGGGTCTCAAATTGAGACTGAAAATTCAATGCATAACTTTTCGATTGGAAATTGATGTGTGATCCTACTTTGACGATATTTCACCACTTTGACTTCTTTCTTCATTCAATTGACTTTTAACACTCTCAAATCTTCATCATTTGATTCGATACAACTTTTGTATATTTTCACGTTAGTCCTTGAACTTTTATTTCCTTTCACTTTGGTCTTTTTTCATCTATTTCTTCCAAATTGTGTCATCTCCATTGAATTGCCACCTAAATTAAAATATGTACGTAATGAGTACATTTTGATATTAATTAATCATGCGAGTGCATAAAATAATGAGGGAAAAATATACATTTTGCATTCCTATCATGACTCTCTTTATCTTCCTGGATCACTTTGTTGGGTTAGCTGCACTTGTTTGGAAGATTGTCTTGATTATATTCCTCGAGGGATCCCCTATCTCCAGTTGTGTTGTCAAGAACAGATTATTTGCATTAGTACTGCAAAAAAAAGAAAAAAAAAGGCAGAAATGGCAACAATAAATCCAAGATCTTTCCATATAGAAAAATTCTACTTGTACATCAACTTTTGTACATTAAAGACTACACCCTCCTCACATGGCGGGATGGGACCCACTGCATAAAATATTTTTTTATTTAAACGGGTCCCACCCTCATGTGAGAGGGTGTACACCCCAATATACATTGTGATGTACAAGTAACAAAACCCTTCCGTAAAACCTCTTTCTTAAGTGGTTCTGCTAGAATCCGGGTTAAATCACTAAATTTTCTGAGCAATCAGTGAGTTCACTTTCTGGCTTTCTTCCTCCAGATCTGCTGCTTTTGCTTTTGCTACTGCTTTCAATTTCCCAAAACAACATTTTTCATTTATCAAGATGAGTTCGTACGTCACACAACAAATTTGTCAAAATATATGCTCAGAAAAATGCGCAACTCTTCTTCCAATCAACTGTCACTCTCAAACCATACAAGATCTTTGTGGCTGTGCATTTAAAAATGGGAAGAAGACAAAGATGAAGGCAAGAATGATAAAACGAAGTCGACAAAGTTGCATCAAATACTTCACATAGAGAAACACTTGACTGTGGAACATATACATGAAGCAGAAAAAGAAAAGAGTTGTAATGTGCGCGTATCCTGTGCAAGCATTCCAAATTACCTCCCCTTTAAATACATTTCATTAACAAAAGAACTGGAAAATAAAAATGGTAATTTTGTTATTACTATATTTGTATCAATATTCAGGAACAATTTTATGGACCCATAAGAATTCTTCCAAGATTTTGTGGACATTGGCTAGAAGCATGTACAGGCTGACTCTGAAAGTTATGCCCTTCAACACGATTTTCTCTATTTCCATAAAGATTCAACCCACCATTTACAAAACCATAGCGAGGGATTTGTGATGGTTGAACTATCATCATACTGGAATCACTAGGTGGAATTTGGCTTTGTGCAGTTTGAGCATTCAAGTTGTGCAGCTGTTCATTAGCTTGATTCTGGCTAATTCCGACCCCAAGATCAAGGCTAACTGAGCCTTTATCTTCTGGTTTCATTCTCGAAGTCCCACTAAATGGCGTGGTTCCTGCAAAGTCATGGCTACTGTTCTTGGCAGCCGGGACGTCATGGTTGTGTTTACCCTCATATGTAGTTATAACTGCTTTGAGATCATGGGATGCCCTTTCAACATGCTTCCTCACTGGGCATCCGGCATTTGTGCACTTGTAATAACTCCTACATTGCAGAAGAAAAAAAAAGAAATACCACATTTTTGTAGCAGAAAAGTGTAGTAGGTTAAATAAGAGATCAGACTTTCAAGTCCACATTCATTTAACCAGTATGCATACACAGTGATAAGGTATCTTCTAGATCCAAATAAATACAAACCCAAGTTTTCACTGCTCAAGTAGTAAAGATTCCATTTCAGTTAGGATGTGTTTGATAGACTAGAAAATTAGGTGGAAAAAGAAAATGTTTTCCAATTTCACCCAATTAATGGTGTTTGATTGCAAAAGTTTTCTTACCTTTTGTTTTTCCTACCTTTTCTAGGTACAATCATTTTATACACATTTTCTTGAATTTGTTTTC